AGTCTCACTCCTTCCACTGGGATCATCTTGCATGCCAAATTTGATGTGAACACAAGAGTTTCTCAGAGTCAGTCAAGTGCTCAAAATGCCATCAAACTCAATGGGAATGAGGCAAGTGTCTCCTCTTTGAAATGCATGTTTTTGTTGCCCTCCTCCCCCACCCCAACAGAGATCTCTGCTAGTCCCCTGGTCTTAAGAAAGATTTCAGGATGAATGGTGAAGGTTTCAGAAAGCCCTAGATATGGGAAGAGAAATTCAGGATAGAGACAGAGTGTGCCAAGTTACAAAAATATTCACTCCCAGGAAAAGTGTAATCTCTCTCTCACTCTAGCCTCTGTAGCTCTTGAAAACAGAAGGAGTTACCTTTTCTTCTAGTTGGTCCCCTGATTGTCTCAACAGTGAAACTATTGTTTGTATTATCTTTTCTTCGTCTGTTAAAGAAAAGAGTAACGTAAATATTGCAGCCTTTTAGTAGGATCCAGATAGCAAACTATGGCAAAAGCCTTTGTGTCATTTAATCATGAAAAGAACTGCAATTTTGTTGGAAATGCACAGAGTTGCATACCCAGGCTTTAAGCAGAAGCTCACTGTTCTAGTCTGCGTGGAGTAAGGAATGCTCTTTCTCCATCTGCCCAGTGTTTTGCTCCATTTAAGAATCTGGGAAAGAGCAAGGGCTTTAACATTCCACTGCCAGCCCTTTGGGCTTTCAGGTATGTCTGATAACAGAACAAAAGAGCAGCTAGCGGAAGCCCATGATAATGGACTTAAAATTGGGGTGGGGGGGAAATCCCCTCATCATTACCCGTTACACCTTCTGTAACTCATTAGGACAAACTCTGGGTTTGCCAGATTAAAGAAAACGCCAATATGGCAGAATCCCTCTTGTAACCAGAAATCCCTAGAAAGCTTGCATGAAAACTAAATCTCTGCAGACATCATAGACGACAAGCAGGTCATACTTTTAATTGAGATTGTTGAGCAGTGTTGTGCCATCACCGAAGAGGGGTTGACCAAGATGTTATTGCCTCAAGGACTGGTCTTTAGCCTTAGAGCTTCAGTGTATTACTCTGTCCCCAGCCCTGCCACTCCTACCACTGCTCTGTCACCTTAAATCCCTTTACCTTCATCCTCCTTTTCTCACATCACGCCTCCTTGGATTTTTAAGGATACTCCCTTTAATTGTAGTAGGAGGCAGGACTTGTTAGAGGACTGCAAAAGCAGTTCCTGAAAATGTGGACAACAGAGGAAGAACTAGCAGAGCAAACTTCCTTCTTCACAGCTTCTTACTGCAGAAGTCCCGAGTGCTTCACCATGTCTAAATGCCTCAGTGTGCAATCCCAACCTGTGAGCATGAAATTCTCCACCCTTACCATGTTCCTCGCCCTCACTTCCAACAGTAGGATCGCTATCATCTTGTTTCTCACACAGAGTCCGATTTTGACACGTTATCCTGAATGACTGATCTGAAAGAGGTTCCTGGGATCTGGATGCAACAAGCTTGACAAGTTTGTCTGCGATGTGGTTGACATCTGCTGTTTCACCTGCTTGGGAAGGAGGGTGAGAAATAAAGAAGGCAATTAATCTTGCCAGGAAATAATTCAGTGATTTACTGGTTTACATGCCCCCTGAGGTGGATGTACCTATATGATACTAAGACATACATTTCCCCATGCTGGGGCTTTGCTATTGCTGGAGATCAGCTGGTAATAAATTAGAGAGACAAGTAAAGCAGTACAACCCCTTTCTAGTATTTGAGCAGCTGCTAACTATACAAAGGCCGTACAGAAGCAAGCGTGAGTGCTGCTCACTAGCCTACATCCTTGCAAGCCAGAAGCACACTGTGTATTAAGAAACGTGAGAGTACTGCTCTATAGGAGTGTGAATCTTAGACCTTACTGTGAGAGTGGTATTGCTCGTGATTAGTTCATCTGTAGGTCCAGATTAAGAAAAGATGGTGTATTTGAATGCTCTTTGCTTGTTTCTGTGGGCTAATCCATGAGCAAAGGAGAAGCAGACTTCACTTCAGAGGCACCTCTAGCACAAAAGCTTCTCATGTCCTTGACACTGCTGTATTAAGCAGACACGAATATTGGGAGAACTCAGCAACCAGACTGCTTTACCCCTTGTGTAATGACCCTGTTTAGGACATTTCCATCTCCTTGTCTGCCTGCAGAGCTTGTCAGGGAGCTGCTCAACTTCTAGGAAGAGGATTGGGCTGTTCATGACTGGAAAACTAAGATTAGGCAACCAGTTTTAAATTGAACAGGCCTTTGATTTAGATGGGTTATCACCAAAAACACCCCTATTTGCTGCAGAATGGCCTGGGCAAGCTTGCAGTGCAGCTGCTAGCCATATAAGTGACAAATAATAATAATAATCATGACGTTTTAGGAACTGGACCAGCAATCTGCTGAAGGGCAAGTAAAGCCCAGATTTGAAGCCAAGCAGAATCCCTGGGGAGGGTAACACCCAGCACCAGGAGGTTTTACCTCGAGGCCACGCTGCCGCCCATGCTGCAGGGAACATGGCGATGTATTGGCAGGGCCATCAAGTGATTGCACCCAAACTATCGAACGCTGTCCTTGGCAATGTGAAAATAAAATGGACATAAAACTAGATATTTGCATGCAGACATATGTCACGGGCAACCAAACAATGGAAAGTTATAGATATTTCCCCCTAGCAAATGGCACGGGGCTGAGGCAGGGACCCTTTCTTGAGAAATGCAGCTGGATTTGGCAGGAGGAGGAATTACGGGCTTGGTGGGTAAAAGCTGGCCCAGGACAGTTAAACTGATCAGAGCATCAGGCTGAAGAAGCCAGTGATGGATAATTTTTAGAAACATCTTTAAATGTGGTGAAGGGGAGAGCAACCGCTGCGACACTGACAGTATCAAGCTGGGACAAATTAAACAAAAAAACCCTTACCTTATGTATATGAAAATGATATGGCAACCTATCATATACTGTATGTGGCATCTTAATGGGGATACCTCATCCTCCTCTCTCAGTCTTGTATGAGAAGTTAAGGTATTAGTTATTTTCCAGAGCGGAACAGCTAAAATCTCATTGCCTGCAACGCAGCACCAGATATGGGGCTGGCGTTGGGGGCTGGGATACTGGATGTTTATGCGGAGGGCATCCCTGGATGTCAGATGGATTACAGCCACCTACCACCTCTTCTTCCAACACATGGGAGGGCAGGTTCAGACTTAATATAGTAGGAACGTGTAAAGGAGAGTTAGATAACTCTGGAAGACTGTTTCTATTTAAGATACACGTCGGGGTTATGAGAGGTGGCCCAGAGACAAGGGCTGCTCTGTGCTTGAGGCTGGTCACTGCCAACTGTTTGTCACCAGAGTTTCAAGCAGAATCTAGCACTTCTGACTTTAGTGTGGAATATTTATTGCATGATAAAGCTCCTTGAATGGACCTTCAAAAAACTTCTCTTCCTTGATTTTAGTGTGGAGGTCTTCAGTTTGACCAGTGTTTTATGTTTTATTTCTAACCTGCTATGAAAAAGAAAAAGCCAATGCTCAGGAAAAAACCCTTGCCACGCAAAACCAATACAGCTGTGTAATTATATGATAGTTTACCACCATACAATGGAAAACAGAAAAGCCAGTCACAAGCATGAATCTTGTGTGTGCAAGCGCTACTGAAGATCTGGCAATCTGCCTTCCTAATTGGAAATCGATAGAGCTAGTGTAAGCGGTGACCAAAAAGTAAAAGAAACCAACTTCCTCCTCCTGCCTTTCCACAGGCCACCAGCCATTTAAGCTATTTAGAGAGAGATTTAAAGACAAACAGCAAAAGGAAAGAACTAAGACGTACTTGTCTGATGCTGAGAATTCTCTTCTTGAAGGCTCGGAGATTGTGCCTCAAGTTTTAAGAAATATGCCGTGTGACCTTGGTGCAATGACAGTGTTTGGGGGTTTTCCTGCTCTGCTCTGCCACAGAGAACAGGTAAACGGTATCCTGGATGGTATTTTGGGTTTGCTTCCTTTCTGCCCTGCAGTTCCACCCAGCCACCCTGTAATTGAATTTCCGCTCTTCTCCTGATTAAGGACGATGATTTCTGCACATTGGCCTCATTTTTCAGAAGTTTCCCATATCTACTAACGGACAACCGCCTCTGGGCGTAGGCCATTAGAATCCTGTATTCTATGCTGTCTCGCTCATCATCTTCCAGCAGTATTTCTTCCATACAGACATCACTTGGCGAAGACATCTTGGTCCCTGCAAGAACAAATTCTTAGTCTCAGTGACTTAGGGAACAGCCTGTTTTTCATGAACACCAACCAGTACTTAACATTTCTACAGAACCTTATAAACTTCAGTGATGTAAAGAATATTGCAGTGCCTGGGAGCTGAAGAAGCACTGTTTTTAGAAAGAGAATTTGGTTACTGAGAAATACCTCAGGCAGCAATCAAGGCCATCAAAGAACAGGAATGATAGATCTGTTACATTGCTCTTAACTGCACGTGGTGGCTTAGACAGGAAAGACAAGGAAATTCAAGGATTATTCAATGGTCAGGGTGCAGTGCGGGAAAAAGAGAAAAGCCCATAACAGTAACAACTGATTCTCAGGATGGAAAGAAAAATGATTCATCAAAGCATTGCAAAGGAAAAGTCTATACTGTGGCTTAAATGAGCAAGTATCTGAATATAGCAGAATCATGCTTTCGGAGGAAGTTTTGACAAATTCGAGTCCTGAGTGTTCTAGGTAGGAAAGCAAGCAAGAACTAGCCCAAACATTAGGAAAAAATATGACGGTTACCTATCGTAATGTTCTCAACTGTCCCTTTCACTTTTGGGGGACCTGAATCAACAATCTTGCGTGTTTGCGTGCAATGGATGGTGCGGTGGCACTTATCTAGTGTAACTTGTTCTTGTCCGAATAAACGTATCAATGGTACAGCACGCACACACATTTTGCCATCTTCCTGTTTCCCTACACGTTTTAGCTTACCAAGCCGCAGCGTGAAACACTCTTACGTTTTTGCTTTGCGCTAGATCCATTTGGTACCTGGCCTCCCTTAACCCAGAGGAACAAGAGGAAGGAATGAGAGGGATCAGCTGTGATGCAGTGACTTGAGAAGGTCTCTTCTGCAGAGCCCAGGTGAGGTTTTAGGTGTTTGAGCAGGCAGCTCAGACCACGGACATGAGGCTTTCTGCAACGCCTCTGTTCAATGACTCATGCAAAGTCAAACAAAACTATGCACACATCCAGTACCTGTCACTGGGATCTCTGTTGCTGACAAGCCGAAATAGGAGGTTTCTGTCCCCACTGCCCTCTCTTAAACAAGTACCAAATTCACACACGCTGTGGCCTCATTGAGAGAAACAAATTTAAGCTAATTTCTTCCTGTCTGAAATATCATTCAGCTATTTGTTGCTTTGAATGTAGCGCTATTGCTGATATGTATGTTTGTGAGTTAGACACACACCCCCCTGAGGTGAGCGAAGTCAGTGGGAAGGGGGTGCCTTGCTCCCCCATGTACTTTTAACTTCTGCCATTGGGATAAGAGCAAGCCAGCCCCCCTAATTCACAACAACAGTGCAGCTGCTCTGTAGGAGGTAGCTATCCAGCGCAGCCTTATTCTGCAGGGGTCTGCAGGCACGGCAAAGGGGTATGAAGGGACCTGGGCACCCTGTTTCTTCAGAGGTGCGAGGCTCGGAGGCAGGAAGATTGCCAGGCTGCACTTTAATTGCAGATCATCTGTCTTTACTGCGCCGAGATCTGAAGGTACTAGCTGCTTCCTTCAAACTGCAGGAAAGTGCAAGTTCTTGTGCTATGATCCATCTGTTACCCTAAAACTTTCTTTTTCCTAAGTATGAGGGTGAAATAAGTCATATGTATGTATGAAGCACCAAATCTTCATCTGGTGTAAACCATTCTAGTCCCATGAAAATCCACAGGAGGATACTGGCTCGCCTTTAGCAAAAGTCTCGCTTTAAACTTCTGATCTTTCTGAACAGACACCTCACCTCACATGCATCTCATTTCACTACTCAGGTATAAAGGATATACCATTTGTCTTCTGGATATAGGTGGTGTTAGGACTGACACACTTAAAGGGGGGTTAATAAAAAAGTTGGAAATGACTGATTGATCAAATAAGATTTCCCTGCTCCAGTAAGTTATGGGAAGAAACAAAGCCCAGCTGATTTGTCACCTTGTTTTCAATACTACTTTTATTGTAAGATTTTAACTTCATTTTGGTTAAGTTTCACATTTGTAACCTTTTAAGTTATATATCAAAAAAAGAAAAGTTTTGTGGCACTCTGTGCTGTTTTGCCATTAGCTGTAGAAAGCAACCGATATAACAAAACTTAGATAAGCCACTTCCACCATGCTAAATTGTTTTTTGGTGGTGGTGTTGAAGGAAAAAAGGAACATATAAACTCCAAAACCCTGCTTACAAAAGTGCATGAGCATCAGAAATTAGACCAACTCCAAACCCATGGCTTAGTTCAGCACTGTCCTTACTGGGGAAGGGGATGAGGAAAGGAAAAGGGAAGAGGAAGGAGAGGAGAAAAGAAAAGAAGAAAGGAAAAGGATTGAGGAGGAAGAAACCTGGAAGTGTCGCGTCATAGGTCCAACACAACTGTTCCTCTAACCTTGCACTGCTAAATGCATCTATGCAGCTCACAGTCTGCATCCCTTTTTAGAGACTCTATTTTTCCCTCAAGAGAAAGGACTGTTTCAGATGCTGCTCTGGGATATCACTGGATTCCACTTCCACTTTAGGATAGTCACTAAAGAAGTGAGAATGGGAATAGTATGATAGGGAAAAAATGGGGAAAAAATGGGGAAAAAAACCTAGAAAAAGGAAAGACAACTTGTTTATGTCTCAGGGAGCTGCTATGTTAAGTTATTCCATGAGTGAGCCAAAACATAATTTCCCAGTCGTGCTGGAGTTGTTAAGCTATTGACACATCACCAAGCCAAGCCTCTAACAGCCTCACACACATGGCAACAGCCTCTCTGAAATTTTCTTCCCAGTGCAAGCCTGGGTGCCAGCTTGCTTAGTTTTCTGCTAGCAGTGTGCTGTGATTTAATGTTTAGAAATCTATACTTCACGTGGCAAAACATCTCACTATGCTTGGGTGAGAATTTATCCCGATACCATCCAAGGTACAAGCAACTACGTTGTCTTCCAACAGCCTCCTGGGCTTCAGCAGAAGCCCCGTCCTGCGAAGGGCCCAGTACCGCGCCAAGAGCTCTTGCTCACAAGGTCATGCCAAGGTGAGTCTGTGTTTGCTGGACTTGTCCAGGGCAGTTTGGAGGCCAGGGAAGAGTGCACAAGTTCCTCTTCTCTTGCTAGCTGCTGCCTTGAGATATTCAAAGGGTCAGCAGGAGCTTTACGTCTTCTCACAGCGTTCGTGCAGGCAGCTTTAATGAACCTGCAAGGGAAACTGAAAGCTCAAGCAAGAGACTGTTACAAGAGGCAAAGTGGGAACAGAGGAAGAAAAAGGAGAACTCAAATAATGCAAGACACGGGGCTGCTGCTGCTGCTTTGTTGCTGCACCTAGGAAGGGAGCGCTGATGTGCATACCACCCTAAGGATGCCGGGGAGCAATGGTAAGGCCTTTGCCGTGCCCCGTGATGATTTGAGCCCATCTTCCTCTGCAAACCAGAGTAGCTTAAAGAGTGTTTTCAGCTGCACTGCACTTTGCAGTGTCTCCGCTACACAGAAAGCAAGGCTACAGCAAATCCCTTCAGCTAGTCAAGGAGCCCAGGAACAGGAACTTTGCCCTGGAAACCAGGCCAAGCATTTATTTCATTCTGAAGTTTCTCCAGAAATAGAGAGAAAAATTTAGAGGTTATGCCATTCTTTTGCATTATTTAATACTTTATGCAAACTCCTCCTTGAAAAGATCTAACTTCACCCTTCAGATCAGACACCGATGCTACTTAAAACAGCACAGTCTTCCCCACCATGGGTACTCTTTATAGATCTAAAATAATTTGTGTAGCATTCATATATACTCATTTTTCTCTGATATAGATAACAATATAAAAATAGATAAGCTATATGTAGAAAACCTCTATGGATGATAAAGTAATTATATAAAATAATATAAAATTTCATTCCCAAACAGCAAGTGGAATTATCGGTAGTTGCATTAAAAAACCCTTACAGCTCTATACACTGGGCTATTACTTGTACGTTGATAACAGCCCTACTCAAGGTGGCTGTACAGATAAAAATCAAACAAGAGTTCAAAGGTTGGACTCCTAAACGAGGCTAAGTGCAGACCAATAGCAGGAGGTCTGGTATTATTACAGCTTGGTAGTACGTAACATCAAATAAGCACTTGCACATCAGGTGCCGCTGTACGGCTGAGCCTGCACCTTGCTCTGACGGGGAACCTCTGAGAAATGAAACAAATGAAGTCAGTAAAAATGCGATATAGGAGCTTCCTTAGTGGGCCTTTTTTGAGCACTGACGTCTTTGTGAAAATTCTCACCCCTGTGTATACAACGAGGCTGGAGGAGGGTAAAAAGAGGACAAGTAGTCACAGTTTATAGCTCATTTATGCCATTACTTACAGATAGCAAGAAAAGGAGATATCATCACATGCTGATGAGCATTCATAAAGGAGACTGCCAGCAGCTAACTTGTTTTTCAGTTCATTTTAAAGTTTGAAATCTTAATTTGTGACTTATGTCTCTCTTTAGACTTACGTCTCTCTTTAGACTTACTTCATACTATAATCAGGTTATTTTTCCAATATCCCATCTGGTGTGGGCCAGAGACGAGCCAGGTCTTTTGCAGAAAGAGCACTCACTTTGCTTGAACTCTTTCTCAGAAATGAATTTGTGTAAAGAACACTTTTTTAATGCAAGCATTGATTTGGTTTGACGAATACTTGGAAGTCCTGCTAAAACTCAAATTTGCATATTATTTCCTAGGATGATTAAAAGAAACTCAGAGGATTGGATTATGGAGAGTAGCAGCACAGTATCATTCTGTCTACTTAAAAACTCTGGTCTAAATTATTTATCTTCTGGAGCTTGCAGGCTCTAAGGGAGCAGCGTTACCCCCTCCCCCCTTACTCGCTTCCAGACCTTTTCCTCCCATTGCCAAATGTCACATCCATGTGCCGTATCCCAGAAATTGGAAACTGTACTGCCAGCACTCATGGTGGTACGTTTAGCTATAACCCTCCATCCACTTCAAGAATTATCCACCAGGATGGAGAAATTTGGCAAAAACACA